GGGTGTTGAGCAGTTGTTTCTGAGTGTACATATTCCCAACACGACTACCAATCTGCAGACACCCCTTGTAAGGTCAGATCAAAGGTCCACTTACACAGTGTCCTGTCCCTGATGGCCAGCAACGGATGCGTAGGAGAGCAGAGCGTGAGGAGTCGGCCACAGGCTGAGTAATCCCTTCCCTGCTCTGTGCTCCAAGCTTCCAGCAACTGGCCATTTAGAGACTTCCTGAGCTGGAGGCTGCATCCGGACCATTGTATTTAATAGCCACTGATGGACCTATCTTCTATTAATTTGGATAATCTTTTTCGGAATCCATTTGTACTTTTTGCCTCCGTAACATCCTGTGGCAACGAGTTCCAAATTTTAATTATGTACAGTGTGAAAAAGCACTTCCTCTTGTTTTAGACCTGCTGCTTGGGTGTCCCCAGATGTGTCACTGATTAATCATTTCCTATTCACCTTCTCCACAGCATCCACAATTCCACAAACCTCTCTCACCTCACTGACCTATACCAACCCTCACTCATCGCTCTTCCATTCAGTTTCTGCTCCTGGCTCTTTGTAGCTCTGCAATATCACCTCTGAAAACCAAAGAGCATGTAATATTTATGAGATAGGTGCATTTTGCATGCAAACAGTAGCACAACAGAGGTTTTCCATCCTCTCTTCCTACTCTTATTTCTACTGTGTCTTTTTGTCCACTGCTAATTGTGAATTGAGACTTGCAAGAAATCCTTCCAATGACTCCAAGATCTTTCTTGTGGTGGTAGCACCTCATCCAGAATTTGTTATGCACCCATATGCACTAGACTCACTTTCCCCTTCTCCCCTGTGTGTTATTTCACACTTATCAACACTTAATCTTATCTGATGGTTTATCAGCTATTCACAAAATATCTTGAAACCCTTCTGCAGCTCTTGGCACAGCCTGACATTTCACCATCCTGTATAATGGTGTACTCAGCCATTGAGGTCATCCACCACCTCTCCTGGTCAAACTCATTGACCAGGACAAGTCCTGAGGGAAGGCAATGGCAGCTTCTCTGGTTTGGAAAAGACAAGTACTACTTGCACACAGATGGTCAAGTCTTTAAAGCAGTGTAGGCACTGAGAGGATCTACATTACATCCCAGCTGTCTCCAGAAACTCAATGAGGAAAAGTTCAGAAGTCACTGAAAATCCAAGAAGGTTACACTGATCACCCATGGCCCCATGCTTGCTGGCTTGTCACATCTGTGAAGCACAAATCCCTCCAGCAGGGGCACGGCCACTGCTCTCCTCATCACTCCACACTGTTACCAAGTCTGTGTTGCACATGCTGTGAATTTCTCCCACCTGGAGAACAAATCCATTTCCTCCAGTCACATTAGGACCCCTTGCAAAGACCAGCAACACCATTATTTTATCTTTTTCTATTTCATTTACCTGTCACTCAGTGTTATTTAAGCAAGAGGTCTCCCAAGAGTTATATTGCAGTCCAGTATATTCAGTGTAATGATACTGAATATTATTATTTAATGTTATTTCTGAAGTGGATCCATCTGGCACGCTGCTTGGTCACCAGTAGGCTCTCAGCTTGCTCTGCCTACCACTGATGAGGTCCCTACATCATGATGAAGACAGACAGATGCTCGAGGAGTTTGTAGGAGGGCTGTAGTTGTTATTTTATGCTGAAGATAAACTTCCAGACAGATTGGTTTACAGTTTGCCCACAGCACAACGAGACAACTGGGCTGTGGAAACCCCTCGTGCAAAATCCTTGCCTTGCAGAACAAGGCTCAGTGGAAGAGTTAAAGGACACTGAGACAGGGAGCTGCATGGCCTCAAGATAAGCCCTTTCCTCAAGATCTCCCCTGCCACCCCCAGGCTATTTTCAATTTAGAAGCCCCCCAGCAGGAAAGCCACAGGCAGACAAAACTTCCCACCTCAAAGGGCTCCTGGAACCATCCACGGAGTGAATCAGCTTTGACTTTGGGGCTTATTTGGCTGTTAATTTGAGAGGTCTGGTGTATGGGCTGGGGGAGGAAAAGGAGCCAAAGAACTTCTATGGCAGCCACCACTCTTGGGGCTGAAGGAAGGACACAAGGCCTGGTCTAGGGCAACCCCTCTGAGCAGGGTGGAAAGATTAAAAACAAAAAAACCCCAAAGAGTAACACTCGAGTGCTGTAAATGGATGGGGTGAAGGGGGAAGAAAGGGAGGAGCAGGAAGTGGTTAACTTATTTGCACTCCTGAAATGAGACTCGACCTCTCACAGGGTTTCACAGCTCATCACTTGTCTTCACCTGGGTAAGAAGTCCCAAGCAACAAACCATCCCAGGATGTGCCACCTGTAGCTGCTACTGCATACAGCTTCAAAATCCAACAGAAAGGAAACTCTCTTCTTGCTATATTGAGCCCTTACACCAGAGAAACTCCTCCTCCTTTGCCCTTTGAAGCAGCCACTTGCCCTGCTTCATCATCTGAGGAACCACTCACTATACCTCCAGAATTTCTCACTCCTCTCCATTTCCCACAGTAATGGGCTTTTCTGTTAACTCCTCTGCCTCCAGCAAAACTGAAGCTGATCACTCAGCAGTTTAAACGCTCCATCCCCACTCCCTAGTGCCCTGTAAACCCTTGTGTAAGCTCTGGGCAGTTGCCTGCTCAGGTAGTGTCACTCTAGGGCACTGAGAATATGCAACCACTTGGAAATGCCTCTTCATTCAGGGATAGCATGACCAACTATAGATAAGAATGCAAAACTTTTGAGGTTCCAAGTTATGAACAAGCTCCTTGTCAAAATCTTGACTCCACAGCCCTATTCTACCCATCAGAGGCTTCCTGCAGTGCTCCTCCAGTTGTGCTCATGAAGCCCTCCTTCTTTTTCCCATCATCTCAGTGATAAACACCCACACAAGAAGTATACTCACAAAAAAAAAAAAAAAATACATGCAAAATTTCTGAATGCCCCAGGGTCCAACAGCAAGTAGAAAAACACAAAATAAAATAAGATGGGGCGCTGTCCCAGCCTCCTCATTTTAGCTATCATTTTGGCACATGCCAAAGCATTACCCCAGGCAAAACATCACCAGGTTATGAGCAGGGATTTGCATGCAATCCCAGCAGTGGGCATGACCACAGGCACAGCTCAGTGCAAGTCTTTTCCTTCTCAGGGTCTTCACATAACCCATCTTTGCACACCAGCTGCATGATAAATGGCTGCAACATCTAATGCTATTTGGGCTTTAAATTGGATTATCAACTGAAATGACATAAGAGCTGATGTTTCTGCACAAAAACATGTTTATTACACTGATGCAGAACTGACTCAGAGCACAAGGATGCTTTGAGGTTTCTGTGCTTGATCAGTAGATTCAAATCCCTTGTTGCCAGATTGGCATGAACTGCTAGCCAGTCCCTTCCTCCAAGAGACAAGCTTTGACTGTCTCTCATGACAGCAGCAACTAGTCATGTACCAATTAGAGTTGCATCCTTTCCAACAACGGCTTCCTCAGCACCTGAAGAGAGGATCTTTGGCTCTTACAACCCTCCCGTTCCAGGCTTTTCAAAACATCAGGGAAGATCTCCTCAAGACTCCCCTTATGTGCAAACCCCCTTTCAAAAGATGCGCTGAAGAAAAAAGGGCAAAGCTAAAATAAAGATGGAACTGCACAGCACAAGAAGAAATTAAATGTCTCTAAATGTCTCTCATTATGGGCGATGCATTCTTTAATGCTCTTTTGGTCTACCTCTGCCCACTTTAAGATCCAACTGACAATTTTTGCCAGCGACTCATTTGAAGTCTGTTCTCTGCCACCCCTCTCCCTCCCCACCTGCAGGCATGCAAGGATCTGGGCCTCACAAGACTACCGTGGCGTGGGTGTTATTGGCTGTCTCTTTTGGCAGCCTCTCCTCCTTTCTTCCAGCTCTGTTTTGAAACACAATCTAAATGAAATAAAAAAAAAAAAAAGAAAAAAAGAAGAAGACATTCCTGCCCTCTCTGCTCCCATCAGCACTGCTGTGAGAGGAGCAGCACCATGCAGGTTGGCCTGGAGAGCCCCAATGTTTGGCAAAGACAAAACTCTTGCTCCAAGACAAGGTACGTACTCGAGGAGGGCAAGAGGGTCAGAGGAAGGTGAGAGGCAAAAATGAGGGAAAAAGAGAGCCAAGAGGACTTTGTGAACCATCTCACTTTAACAGGGGGAGTGGAAGAAGAGAAAAAGGTCTCTCCAGAGCTGGCTCTCTCCCACATTTAACAGCATTAGGTTCTAACATGTAATTTGCACCAGAAGTCTGATTCTTTCCTGCGTTTTGATGGATGTTGGCATCCCCTTTTTTTTTTTTCCTTCTTTAACAATGTGTATTACATAACATTCTGATACACTAATTACCATCTCATGTCATAGCAATTTTATTAAGAGCTTATACTTACAAATACCCATTCTGAAAGGATTTAAGGACTTTTTTTGTACTTTTCTCTGCACTGGGCTCGTTGAAGCACTAGCAACACGCTCTGACGCTGCCTGTTGCAGCTTCCAGTAACAAAGTGTCTACACAAAGACCTCTCCCCAGCCCCCAGTCAGGCGTGGATTCTTCTTGCGTTTAGTCTCAAAGACTTGTAAACAAGTTCCTTTCAGCACACTAGGTTGTGGTAAAACACTGGTAACACAGCCCTGCTAGGTTCCTGTACCTGCTACGGTTCCAATTCCAGAAGCAATGCCAAGAGAAAGAAATTCCTTTAATACCAAGTAATGGAAAATTTGTTAACTGTTCTGCAGTTAGTGTTTGCTCGTTAATATGGCATCATCTTGCCAGGCAAAGACCTGGTCCCATGAGGTATTTTTCTGTATAAAATTGCTAATGCCATCAGGATTGTCCAAATGGGATCATCGTCATTAAAAAGATTACGTGGTAAGGAAAGTGATTACGCCAAGGTCTGAGCAGAAGGATTACTAATCACAAGTAGAATCCTGGTACAAATCTCATCCTCTGTGTACAAGAAAGGACACAAAACCTTTTAAACATAATTTATGTACATTTATGGCTTTATACAACAAACTGTCAGGGATTGTTCTCGTGTGTCTGTAGAAGTACATCAGGCACTTTTTTTTCTTTTTTCTGAAAATATCCACGTCTGAATTTTAATTCTGCAATGTGACTAATTCAGAGCAGTGAGGCGTTGAAGAGCTGTCACACCACTCCCAAGCAGAACTAGCAGTATGTACATGCCAATCTCTTCACGATATTGCTGGTTTGTGGAACGCCCTCCAAAAGAAGGCCAGTTTTAATGCCAAGTAATTTGCTTTTTGCTCACATAAACCATGCTGTATTTTACATTATGATTACCAAAATAATAATAAGAATAATAATAATAAATGAGAACACCTTACTTAAAATCAGTCATAAATTAAGGATCCTAGCAATTTCATCATGAAAATAGGAATTTCAAATCAGTAAAAAAATAAAAAAAGTACTAACATACATCCAGTGGTTTAACAAGTGCAAATTTTATACTGTTTTATAATTGGTCCAATTTTAACTTCTCTTCTTAGGGATGCTCTGTTGACTTCAAGCCAATAATAAGCAATGTGACTTTTGCTTATACGTGTAGGCAAACTGTCAGTTTATCAAAGCAGAGCTTTCCAATTAATGCATCTATTACCTAAACATATATCATATAGCTATATTATGGAAACAATACATCTTTATATTTAAAATATCTGAACAGCTCTATAATACAATAAACTTTTAATAACAGTACAAACCAGAGAAAAGTCAAAAAACAAGGCTGCATAGGTAAGATCATCTGCACAAGTCACAAACCAATCATTTACAACAATTCTGACAAACTAAGTTACTCCAGAAACTTGGTACTTTTACTTGAAAAGGATTTATTACTAGAGGTCACATAATGTTTGTTTTCAAGGCAGACAACACGTCCTTTCACCAGACTTCACAGTATTCCAGAATTACAATTGTAAAATGTTAGAATGGCACCACAAAAAAAAAAAGGAGGAAACCACATACAGCCCAAACCTCTGATTATCTACAACTGCTTTCTCACAATAATTAAAGAGGGGCTTCCAACAGGCTGCTGTAATTAAGGAACGGCTACATTTATGTTATTCATAGTTATAAAAGGGAATGAAGGAAATCTCTGTATACAGGAAGTTATACAGTAGCAGTAAATAATAAACAGGAGGTATATTGTTAAGTGTAGCATGTTCAGCTGCAACCCTGTGGAGTATTGCATCAAGTTCTGCTTCCTCTGCACGCAGAGGTGAACTTTACCACTACTTGGGCCTGTGCACAACAGTGCCCATCTGGAAGCAAACATTTCTGCACAGGCAGCAGAAAGGAGGATCCTCAGAAAGCCACGTGAGCCCTCTGCTTGCTCTTCCTGCCAGGATTTACCACCACGTTTCAGAGGCTGTGAATCTGACGGTGAAGATGCTACTAGAGATATTTGTCTGTAAGAGCAGGTGGCTTCACTGAGGCTTCAGCACTCAGAACATTTCATTTTGCTCAACGGAAGTTCAAAGACTGATTTCATGCTGGGGGGAGATCCTGTATCGCAGGGCAGCTTAACATCAGTCTCTGGAACTGCTGACAACTGTAATAGGATCTCTAAAAAAGTAGGACCAGCTGTAATTAGTAGTGATTTAAGCCCAACAGGGAGCTAAACGTTGGCACATCAATAAATACATTGCAGAGCCTTAGGAAAGTCATTACAGGATCATTAAATGTATGGCTTGTTACTGAACTGGATTTTCTTGGCACATCCCGTTTCTTTCGCCAGCATACACCATCACTACAGGGAAGATGTGTTTCAATCAGAAGATTTTCCAGTTGTGGGTTACAAAGACAAAAGAAAAATCAGTGGAAAGATATTTATTTCTCCCCTTCTTCACAACAGCCAGCCCTGCCACTAAAGCTGTTCATCCTGTCAGTCCATAAAAAAGCTCCAAGGCTTTCGGTAACACAGAGGATGTGTAGCAAGCAGTGAGAAGACAGGTGGGGCCTGTTATCCACACACCCCTGAAAACTGCACCCTGTGATCACAACAAATCACAAACCATTTATCCAGGACCCAATCCTGAAATCTCTCAGGGAGCTGTCAGTGTGCCTACTCCAACAAGAGCAAGTTCTTCCACAGGAACGAGGCCTCTGTCATTAATGCTCTCCTCTACCCTAAAGCTCATGTGTTTGTATAACTTTGCCACTTACTTTACCTTTCTTATTTGAAAAAAAAACCAAAATACTTTGTCCTGCAATAGGGTGCTACACAAATTCTAGCCTTCCACTCAAAAGTTAACACTTTTGCCTCTTCAAACGTACTGCATTGCAACAGAAACACTGACAAACCCTAAAACTCGTGCTAATTAAGACAAATGACAATTTTGTCCTTAATTTTACTAAAATTATGATTTTTCTCCAAAGGCCCTGCTCTTGAGTGCACAAACATTATGAGACCTCCATGAAATAAATATAAATGTGAAGCATTGTACAAGCATCTAACAATGAATACTTAACACTTTGTGGTAGTCAGAGTTAAAATGATAGTAGAAGCAGATGACATTACTAAAAATGCATATATAAAACTGATTAAATATTTCCTAAACATAAAATTGTCTATATTTATACATCACACAACAAAAAAAAAAGGGACAGAAATGTTTTGTATACAAGATCCTTATTAAGCTTTTCCTTTATTAGCACTCCCAAGTGCTAGGGTAATTTATAAAAAAAACTGTACTTAATCCAGTTAAAATACTGTACAAAATGAAGAGGTTATGAATGCTGCCAGATCTCAGATTTTTATTTTTTTTTTTAAGTTGCCTATGTAACAAAAGTAGACTTTAATGATAAGAAAAATAGCTTGGAAAGTATTCCAAAAAATTATCTTAAGTCCAACAATAAAGTCATTAGTCTGACAATGAAATCCAGATATATTCTTGCATAAATTTACATGAATACAGGTAACTTATCAAATGGCATTTAACCTACTGTTTGCTTTGAATAGTCAGTGAGTTTAGTAGGATCATATTTAACAGGCTATTCTGTTCCCATATGAAATGTGTTGCAGTTTTGAGTAAAAGAATGCAGTTCGTACTGCTGCGAGGAAAGTCCACAGTTATCTCAATTCATCAAAACACAGGTAACATCAACGAAGGTTAAACTTACTTAGGGCATGAGATCATCACAGTATTCTTACAAAAGTTTATAAACTTTCTTGGACCAAAACAGATAGTCTTAAAAAACAATTCGTCTACAGGTCATACTGTACAAAACCGAAAGCACAACGTGATGTCAGTAAGAGTCTTTGCTGTGATTATATGGTGTAGTGAATTTGGCACTTCAGAGTAATGAAATTTCCAATGGCACAGTTCTTATCTACAGCAGCACATAACCTGCAAACCTTGGGCAAACATCCTGTACAGGAAAATACTCTGTCTGCTGCCAATTCTGACGAAAGGAAGAAAAAAAGACCCAAAAAAAAACAAAAACAAAAAAAAGCTGGTGGTGCATGTGCACAGCTTTGTCAAGAAAATTAAAAAGGAAGATGAAGGACATCTTTGTACTGCTTTTCTCAGTTCCTGCTGTCAGACAAGTCTGGAGAATTTAAGTGTAAGCCTAGGAAGAAAGAAAATAAAAAAAGAAAAAAAAACAAACAACAACAAAAAGAACAAATTAACATTCACATCAAAAGATTAAATCTATTAAAATATGCTCAAACTAGCTTTAAGATACCTTAGAGGGGGGAATAAAATAGTCATTAATTGCTAGTTACCAGCAAGTGTTTTGTTTAAAACATTAATGGCAAATCATTAGCGCTCCACACGAAGTAACTGAAGTTGGTACAGGGCAATACTAACGCAAACCTGATTTTCAGACTAACAAAACTGGGAAGTCACTGACTGTAGCAGAGGAACTTCACATGCCAACACAGACAAGCACCCAGATTTTAAGCACTTTGACACCTTTCTGTAGCTGTTTTCCAGATTTATTATAAAAAACACAGCTTACCTCCACCTATATCCTAGCCTGACACCCAACTGTGTGTGGTTGTCTTTACGCTATGCTGAAAACTTTGGTTAGGCAATACACTGTCAAAGTTAAAATCTAACGTTTCTCCATCCATGAGGTCATTACGGATAATCGACTCCATGTCACAGTCCAACCGTTCGATTAACATGTCATCTAAGTCACTGGGCAGCTTCTCCTGGTGGAGGGAAACGATTCTCCCCCCCCCTGCCGTAGCCGTTGCAGCTGCTGGCGGGGGCGTAGGGGTTCATGGCGCCCATCTGCATGGGGTGACCCATAGGCACTTGTAACGAAGTCTTCACCGTCGCCAGGCGGCTCAGGCCCGACGTGTGGGACATGGTGTTCACGCTGTGGGGCAAGGCACGGCCGTTGACCGCGGGCGTGGGCTGGTTATGTCCTTGGTGAGGGCGGGCGTTGGGGTTCATCATTTTGCTGTGGGGCGGTTGGCTGCCGTACGTCGGCATCACCGAGTTGGCGACCATCAGCACGCTCTGGCCCAGCGCCCTGCCCCCGGCCTGGGAAACACCACTGTCCACCGAGGCCAAGATATCGTTGTGGGGCGGAGAATCGGAAGTCAGTAACTCCTTCAGAAGTCCTGCAGGACAATTATATTGGCTCATGGATCCATAGCTTGGTTTACTGTCTTGAAGAGTCTGCATAGGAATCTGGGGCAAGGAGTTCATGCTTGCTTGAGCATACGTAAACTTCCTGTAGTCTGGGTTGGGTGAACCTATGCTCGTGGTCGAGGATGCGAATGAGTAACCTGGTGTTTGCTGCATCAGGGTAGCAGATGAAGACTGGGTTGACACGGTCATTGACGTATTAGGTGACAAGAGGTTAAGGTTATCCAAAAGATTTTCCATGTTCTCAGAATTACTCATCTCTGAAAGGCTGGGTAGAGTAGAAGTCATCTTGGTGGCCGACGATGGGTATACCATGGAGTGCACATCCCCGTCTCCGAGATCATCCTGCTCTGGCAAAATGGGAGAAAGTCTTCCACTGATGGTACTAGCATTAGAGCTGGTTCTAGGCCGAAAAGTACTCCAGTTATCAAAGTCATCATTACTGTGAGAGCTGGGGCTCGCAGGCCACTTGGAGAACTGGGACCCGGGGCTGTCCCCGTTCCCCTCTTGACCTGACTGAAGAGATGCTTTTTTCTTGGCAGCTCTGCCTCTGCTTTTGGCAAACTTGCTGTTGTTATCCATGGACGCCGCTCGCCTCCTAGGAGATTTGCCACTCTTTCCTCCTTCAGGATTGAGCATCCACCAGGAACTCTTCCCTGTTCCCTCATTCTGCACTCTGATAAATTTGCTGTGCAGAGACAGGTTGTGACGGATTGAATTCTGAAAAGCAAAATAAGGTGTAAGAAAAGGAGAAAACATGCATCTTCTACAGCATATTACTATTTGTCTTTACAAACAAAAGGGTAATGGTGAAATGGGAAAACACACCAGGCTCACCACTCCAGTGAGTGGAAACCTGATTGCATTTAGGGATTTGTGGGGTTTTGTTATTGCATGCAAAGCTCAGGGATGCTAGGTACTGTTCTACAGTCCTTATGATGGGCTCTCATCCTGCACATCCCTAAACCCTGCAAATATGTCAGCCTGCGAGTATGACTGAGCAATAGGGATGTTTATATCACTTGTGTTATGTGAGAAAGCACATCTAGAAACCAGCTGAGGATTAAGTTCTAATTTTTACAAATAAGCATCACAAATTGCCTAAGAAATCATAAGGGAGAAAGGAGCCCAAACAGCATATACAAAATTGCATTTAAAACCCCAGCCTTAAAACCACCTTTCTCTTTCAAAATCAATATTTCAATATGTAAAATTGACTCTTCTAATACCTGAGGGCACAAGATATCTTGTGCCAAGACTGACCAGAGGTACTGAAGCTTTTCACTGTCTCCTTAGCTATGAGTAATGTTTCACGTTTTGTTCTTAAATTTAAAAAAATAATTTAAAAACCCACAAAAATCCAAAATTCAAGCCCACAGGTCGACCTGTTGATAAGAGACTATCCTTTGCATTACCAAGCTGTAGATAAAATTTTTTCCCCCATGTAATTTTCTGCTGAGCACACGTAAAAAACATTATATCAAGAGAAAAGCTGTCCTATATTTTGACATAAATGCTAACAAAAGGCCACAAGTTCAAAGAGTGCTGAAACAGGCACCCGTGGATGTTGATAGGAGGGTGGGAGAGTAGCACAGTCTGCGCTAGGGCTGCAATTCATGCAGAATAAGTAGGAGGGAACCACAAAACAACACATGAAGTGGGTAAACAAGAAATTAGACCTCAATGGCAACCAGTGATGCAGTAGCTGCCCTCCATTCTTATTCATTTTTATTAAGTTGAAGAAAATCTGGGGGAGCAAATATGCAAAGACTGTTTCTAGAAAGCAGTGGTAACATCAATCTTGAACAGCAGGCCAATAGCCAGTTATCTCAAAATACTAAATGGCTGCTAGCTCTACAAAAACTGTGTTCTGTCTTCCCCGTTTTCTTACCTTTTTCCTCCCATCTATCTCCTCTTAAGTTTTTAACCTGACTCCCAAGACCCACTACAGCACCAAACCATGAGGATGATACAGATCATGGAGCTTTGCACGCCTTGTGAGGCAAACCAGAGGACAAGAGACACAGCCACAGCTCTGGTCTCTGTTTGCTTTTGCTGTATTTCCCAATCCAGAGTGCTGCCTGGGACAGGAGCATCTCCAGAAACGTCCTCCTTCACCTTCTCTACTCTACCTTTCCTCCATGGACACCTGCTTCCTCAAAGATGCACATCTTTACCCACTGCCTATACATCCAGCTGACCAAAGAACAGGAGCAAAGACCATACGGCCAAAAAACCACCATAAATCTAAAAGCCAAGGAGGCTTGCCAGGTGAGAACAGTAATCTCAGGAGGCCTGGCTCAAATCAGAGACAACAGGCTCAAATTCCCTGCAAGGCCATGACATGCTGTGCACCATGGAGAGCCAACCAGCCAAAGCAGAGCTCAACAGGAATGGTTACTCTGGGGTGGAAGCGGAGACCTTCAGCAGATAAGGGCAGCAGGGATGTGCTCAGTCCTGCACATTACAGGCAGCAGAGCCTTGAGACTACCCCCAGAGGAGTGCAGCTTCACCCCAAACGTGGGCACAAGGTGCTCCTGACAGCAAAAGATGGCAGAACGTGGCCTCATGGCAGCCTGCTGTTCAACCAGCACAGCAAGGGCTCAGACCATGTTCATAACCTCAGAAGCTTTTCCAACCTCTCCTTCCCCTCCAAAGAACTGTCTTTTATGAATTACCCCAGTTAAACAAACACCAGTGAAAATTTGTTTCCTTATTCATTATTATGTGAAAGGAAGCCCTTCTCATATTAATTAAGGCAGGACTGTACCTCTTCACTGCAGGTAACCTTGCAATCACATCTCACCCTCTATCTAGCTACAGGGTGTTAGGGAAGGCTCAGGAAGTTTATTTTCCCCAGGTGCAGCTAACACGTCAGGAGGGTAAGCCCAAAAATCCATCTTTGGACTTGCCCAGGGCCCCCAGGGCCGACCGAGAAGCCTGGTGAGGCCAGCCTGGCACGGCCTGTTGTTTTCACTCCAGGGCCACAGCCGAATCCCCGGCTGACACGAGCCCAGCTCCAGGAATGTCGCAAGAAGGTTGTTCTGCACGTCTGCTGATTAGAAAACCTCCTGCGCCAGGCCATTTCTTTTTTTTTTTTTTTTTTACTGTATTTTGTAAACATACCCAGTTGGCCCAGGCTTACTGTTTACTATCAAAATAGGCATATCAAACACGCCAAACATCAGGCAGAGAAAATACCCTGCTAAGGCTCAGCTCCCTCTTCTCCGCCGCAGAAGCGTTAAATATTTAAGAAATCGCTGCTATTCCTTAGTCATCAAAAACTTTATAATCTGGTATTATTGTACCGAGGACATCTGAGGTCGCTCTTTGAGTAACAGAGCTGTCTCCTAACTCTGCCAGCAATGAGGAAAAAAAAAAAATTTTCCTAACAGGAAAAGGCTTGCGGCCCAGAGCTTGTTACATAAATTCCTGTTTTTCACGCAGCCAGCAGGACATTAAAGAAGCTATGATTTACTAACTTGGAAAAAGTGTTGAAGAGGTAAATCTTGTGAAAATATGCGCTGCTGTTAATGATGTTGTGTCTACAAATCTTTGCCAGACGCAAACACGACCCGCTAGAGAAGCCCAGTCCCAGCAGTGGCTGCTGGCAGGGGGGGGGGGGGGCCCGCGGGGCGGCGGGCC